TTCTCGATTCCAAGCTTCGAACTATCCATCTTCTATGACCGTGTTGAATATCCTCAGCTCTAATACCAGTTGTTAGGATCGAATTCACACACACACACTAGATGAATGAAGAACACAAGAACTTTCAAGAGAAAGAGATGAGAGATCTAGAGAGAGAAAGAGAAAACCCAATATTTCGTGGTAACACCCCGTGAGTAAACTTCCACGGCGGTGAGGTATATTTATATTAATAAATTAGAGTATTTTTTTTACAGAGAATAAATAGAGAATAAATAGGAAAACCTAAAATAGAGAATAAATAGGAAAGCCTAAAATAGAGAATGAATAGGAAAGCCTAAAATTAATCAGGCTCCACTACCTAACACTATTACCCTTAAAAAGGGTACTTATTTTCACACTGAAAAGGGAGTACTATTTCCAAAAAGGTATAAAGCATTTTCAGAGTTTTCAGAAAGATTGAGTACAAAACAGTTATCTCTTAAAGAGGCTTTTTTGAGAACTTATCTCAACCATAGAGTAATTTGAGCATTGAGTGTTACCTATATTTTGGGAGTAGTATTGAACACCGATATAAGGAAGAATTCAAACAACTCACATTCTCCATAAATCACATAGCCAACATGGGTTATGATTGCACCGACTTTCAAGCGACTTCTAATTGCCTTTAAGTAAACCTTTTAGCGAATCCATGAGTTGAGTTTGTTCTATACCCCGGCAAGGTATTAGACAATATTACGTGGCTCATATCGATAGTTTCGGTTAGAGAAAACCCCTAGTAAAGTAAAGTAAATATATTTCAATTTAATATTTGCTATTATTGTATCCTTAGCATAAGAGCTTAAACAAATTTTCATCATGACTTATACGATATTTTTGTTGAGTTACCTTCAGACTTTCAGCTCAATTATTTGTTATTTAACTATATTACATACTCATACAATGTACTGGTGTCATTCAACATGCATCTTTGTATGATGTAGATTCAGATACTTAGGATCCTCAATATGAGTTTCGTTGAGATCATTCCATTCGCTCGTCAGCTTTTGAGTGAAGCCTCATTGTTTTCAGTGAACTCCAATTTCTATGAGTGATTAGTAGTAGCATTTTGATGTTGTGGGTCTTGTCCCCACACTCGTCTTTATACGATAGAATCTTGATAGACAAACAACTTTGGAGAAACTTTTAATTTCAGATGATTTATTTAATACTTATGTTTCAAATTATTCAGAGAGTTTGAAATGTAATAAATTGTTGTTAAACATTTCTATCAGTTTGATGTTTGTGATTGCTTGAGTTAGTCTTTTGCTTGTATTTGTACAAGACAAGGGCTCGTTTAGGGAGCGACAATGGCGCTCTCAGGAACGTCCAGGGTATAGACTCGAATCATAACAATCAGGTTCCTTAATGTTATTCATTAACGTAAAAAATGCTTGAATAATAGAGATGAAGTACAATAATTTCAGTGTAAGACAAATGTGATATTCAAAATTGCAACAACTATAGAAGTTTTAAATTGTTAAATCTTACAATGAACATTTGATAGAGGATAGGTGTAGTACTTAAGGGTAAAAAATAGGTGTCTATTACGAAAATGAATTTGATTTCACATCAGAGTGTTCAACTATAGAAGTCATTCTTCTAGTAAGAAGATTGATTTAACAATATAGAAAGAAGAAAAAGAATTTAGATATGGTGTTCATTGATGTAGAAAATGCCTACGTCAAAGTCCCATGAAGGGTTATACAAAGATGTTTGGAGACTATAGGTGTGCAAATAATTTATATTAGGGTGATTAAAGACATGTACGAAGGAGCCAAAACTTGAGTAAGAATAGTGGGCAGAGACTCAAAGCACTTTTCAGACATTATGGGTCGCAATGGGGTTCAAATTTTAACTCATTTTTTATTTACTTTAGTGATGAATAAACTAACATGATATATCCAAGCAAAGGTGTCATGGTGTATGTTAATATTTATGCATGACATAATATTGATTCACAAAACTCAAGGTGGAGTTAACGATAGGCTGGAGGTTTGAAGACAAATCCAGAGTCTAAGGGGTTCAAGTTGAGAAGTACTAAGACACTGTACTTAGAGTGCATATTCAGTAATGTAACTCATGAGGTAGATGTTTAAGTGAGGATCTATACATAAGTCATCAGAAAGGAAGTTTCAAGTATCTGTGTGAATAATTCAAGAAAATGAGAAGTTTGCCAATGATGTTATTGGAGTGAAGTGAAGTTTTATAAAAGTATATATGGTTCTGAAACCAACTATGAATGTTATATATATGGGGCGAGAGTATTGACCGATAAAGAACTTGTACGTCCACAATGAAAGTTTCTCCCATGGTGGGCAAGAGGAGGGAAGATAATTGAGATGGTTCAGGCACATGAAGAGGAGATGCGCATATGCCCTAGTGAAGAGGTGCGAGAAGTTAGCTATGACATGTGTGAGGAGAGGTAGGTCAAAAAATACTGATGAGAGGTTAGCTATAACGTATACTTATAGCTTAATGAAGGCCAGGTTTCTAGATAGAAATATATGAAGACAAGGCTTATGGTAGATTGTTAAGTTCTAACATTGTCAAATCTCCCTAATCATTATTGTTATTATTATCTCCAATGGTGTCTCACCTGAGTGACAAGCTTGTGCTACCAAAATCGACATGCTTTTCCAAAGTTGTCATTCATCACCCGAACTTCATGATCGATTGTCTTAGACCTCTTGGTTGTTGTTTTAGGAGGGCAGCCCCTTTCCAACATATATACAATCTGCAATTTCGAAACATTTTTTTTTTAATTTTTTCATGTTTGGTCAAAATATTTTAGAACACATTTTCTTTAGAAAAATAAGTTTCTTAAAAATGAGGAAAATAATTTCTCTCCATAAGTGACATTCCAAGCTCATGTCCCATCCCCGAACCTCCACCCCAATCCACTACCCTGCATTCTGCCTATATAGTTTTTTGCCAAATTACACATAAATATTTTTGAGATTTTATTTTATTGTAAATTGTACATCACATCTCTCTTGCTAATCTTGGGTAATTCTAAGCATTAGAAGATAATTCATCATGCTCTCAACATAAATCAATCATTTAGCTGGACCATTGCTCTTTAGTTTGTCTATTTCTCTTTTTATTTCATTGATTTATTGGGTCAAGTTGTCTTGAAACACAACATCACATGCAAAGTGCAACAATGTCCCTCACCACTCATATATGGATTTTAAATTATATGTTTATACTTTTGCAATTATTTTATATCAAGCCTTAGCTGGAACTTGTAGGCAAAAGAAATTGAAAACTTATCCATATATAAACATAACTACTCCTTTGCTTGAATATAATGACAATTCTGGTTGGAGTTTTGCAATTATTTTTGGTCAAACCTATGCATATTAAAGGGTCTTTTGATAAAACAACTCACTATATTTATATCAATTTTATTAAGTGGCATTTCTTACTACCTAATTATTAATTATATAATAGGGTGTCAAACCTTTAAAAACACTTAAATTATTTTATTTTTAAAAGTTTCATTACTAATTTGTTGGTAAGGTGAGAAACATACTTAACTATTACTTTGAAAAAAACACATCAATATTTTCTGGATCAAATGTGTGTATATACACACTAGGCGCATCTGGTTCAGAATCTTCGTTCACGTGACTTTTTTTTCTTTCTACTGACACTTTTTTTTTTTGAGTTTAGTGTAAAAAACATACTTAACTATCTTTTTTTTAGTTTCATATTTAAACTATTAGGATCGTGAGAAACACATCTAAAATATTACTTATTGATTTGAGAAACACATCTTAATGTTGACTAGAGTTGAATTTTCATCCACGTTGGCTTCTTCTTTTTTGCTGACACATTTTTTTATAAATATTTTCAATTGATCCTTAAAGAGTGAAATTATATGTTTCAATTATATATTTTTAGTTAGAACTGTTACATGTATTAGTTATGAGTTATCATATTTTGCCATGGTGGAATTGTTTCCCAGGTAGCAATCTATGTGGGAATTTTTGAATTTTAAAAAGAGAATGCAATACACACACTATCACATATTATTTGAGATGTATATCTCAAACTTATGAAAGATAATTTAGATGTGTTTCTCACAATCTCAATAGTTTAGATGTGTTTTTGACACTTGAACTCTATTTAAGAACGAAAGAAGTAAAAAACATGTTGTAAAAGCTTAATCGTGTACCGTTGTCATATTCAACTTTGTACAATCAACTAAAGAACAAAGAGAATGTTGAAGTTAAAATTGAGTTATTTCCTTGAAGATGAATTCATTTGTTGGTTTTCTAGTTTCCCTTTCAAGCAAATCATAGTCCAAAATTAAGGTTCTCTGTAATTTTCAATTTAAGGAGAAGGAATATCTTTGTGACCAAAGACCCAATAAATTTCTAGTATGAAAAATTTTGCTCCCTCAATTTCATTTGTTTATCTTACTTACTGCTCCCTATTTAGATTGTCCAAGAATATTTTGTTTTACTTATTTTTTCAAATACTATATATTTTAAATTGTCAATTAGTACAACTTATAGTACTTTTTATGTAATTTCTAAAGTGACCATTTCTAAATACGTAACTTTTATTTCAAAGGAATAATAATTGAAGATTCTATGTACAAGTTCACGCAAAATAATATTACTTAGTTTCATTGAGATCTCTTTCTCACCTAAATAGCCTTTTCAAATCTCTTAAATGTAAAAAACAAACATATCTCTAGAAGATAAACAAATAAACTTGTAAAAAAAAATAGAAAACCATTTCTCCCATTGGGTGGACAGTCATTGCAAGAAGAAAAAAGTAGGGTGATTTTATGAACTCTAATATACATCAACAATAAGGAGAAGATCAATAAGTTAATTCTCTGTTGTATTTTTGGGCTATAAAAATTGTAGATTTTGTGCTATATTCACTTATTAAGAAACCAAAAAGGTGGATATTGTCTAACATGGCTACAAAAAGGAAAAAGAAAAAAAAGAAAACCAAGAACTACAATTAAGTTTATGCCACCTGAAGAATGGAACTTCAGATAAGCTCCATTGCAAGTTGGCAATAGTTGTGCTTCAGGCGTTGCGCATTAACTAGAAAAAAAGGTGTTAGTACATTACACTTGATCCCCAACATAAGCAAAGGTGCTCTCTAGAGACACCCTTTGACCTATCTATTAGGAGATAATGTTACAAATCCAGATTTCTAAAATCCGTCCTACTATTTTGGATCTCAAATATACACCATTAGAAAGCAAATAAACAAGATTATCACAGCCTTAGATTACCTCTTCTTCCTGTCAATAGTGCAAACTGAAAAATAATAAGCAAGCAAAGCTGTCGCCTTGACGAAGGATACTCACTTTGGGAGGTGTGATGAACAAAAGATTTCAGCTCCATAAAGTTTCATAATGTGTGATGATGGAAGCATCAATCATCAGAGCTATAATCACTGGATTCTTGCAGTATCTCCGGAGAAGCACAGCAGAATGACTCCTTGTCTTTGAGAAAAAGACAGCTCCCATCGGAGTTCCATTTCAGATCAATTACCGCAAATTGAGGCAATGGAACATTTATGCAATAAGCACCTGAAGGTGTCCACATGTATATGTGGGAGCTTCCAGTACATAAAACCAAACGTGGAAATGTGGGATCCCAGGCTGCAGCTCGGATGGGATCTTTTTGAACTAAGATGGCAGCTAGCTCAAGATGGTTTATGTCCCATATCCATAGTACAGTAGGCATGCTATCATTGCGAGTGCAAATATATTGACTATCACTGCTCCATGACATCAGGCCTGCATTTAAGTTTCCATATTGTTTTAACAAAGTACTCATGTGTGAGCCTTAAGAGTAGTTTCTCTTATGGAGATTCAATAGAACATCAACCAATCAAAAAGAAGCTTCTACTTCCGGATCTAAGGTCTACAAATTCACAAAGGTTCTGCATTAACCCTTGATGATGAAGATACTAGGCTGATACAGCTAATTTGAGATCGAAGAGACTCTTACCAAATAGAAAGGTAAGAGTCAGTTATCATTCAGAAATGAGAGCACTGTCAGACTTATCGCGCAAGTCAATAAATGTTACTATCAAGGTTTGAGATTTTCAAGAAGTAAAAGAAGAACTATGTGGCCATTCAAAAGATAATAAATGCTCAGTATCTCCTATACAAATATCCAAGTGTTCAACTTTATCAGACATTTGACATATTTGGGTGACATTCATAAGTAATCAGAACAACTAAGGAAAGACCAAAAATAGTGATCAAATTTCTCAGTTAGTAAAAAAATTGAACCAAAGACTTACTGATTCCTTGCTTGGGATTTGGCTTATCTGCAGGTGGTTTCTGAGAAGGGAGATTGATAGGTACCTCCAAAACATTGTATCTGACTTGAATATGTGCCTCGGAAGCATTATCTGGAAGACGAATAAATTGGTTTGAAGATCTCAAAAGTTCTAAACAAAAGGAAACGATTAGAATACAAAAGAAATTTTGAGTACATTCACACAATCAACTTTCCGTTTCTGCCAGTGAGCCGCTTAGAAAAGCACTACCTACCATGCTTGGACAATTTGTCTGCAGCAGTAGATTTACATTTATTATTGTGGCAGAATTACTTCAAGCTTTGGTTTCTTGAAACAATTATCCGTGTTTGGATTTGATTTTAGAAGAACCACTTTTGGAAAATTATTGTATTTGGATTGGGTAAATAAACTCATGAAACAGTTATAATCAGTGAAGTCTTAAAACATTGACAGACTTTTCATACACAGTCATAGTTACAACTTACAACTTACAAGAAGAATTAACTAAATCATCTTTATTTTCTATTAAAGCTTATCTCTAGACAAGAAGGGTTGTTTGGATTGTAAGCTACTCTCCACCTCCAACGTTAAGGTTGTGGGAGTGAGTCAATAAGGGAGTAAAAAGGGTGGGAGATCCTTTTGGCTTCTCGGCAGGTTGGAAACCAAACTGAGCTAAATGTAATTGGAGACACGATATGAAAATTCAAACTGAATAAGTAAAAGAAAGACAACATATGTCAAAGGTGTCGTCAAAATGAAAAGGTTTATACAATACAGCAACAGATAGTGCTAAAATAAAAATTGGTTTTGCTTAAATCACAAAAATAATTTGCACATCCTTCTAATAGAATTACAATTGTACAAAGTTAAGCTAATGAGGAAATCAATAAACTGTATAACCACGTCATGTAAAAAACTTAAGTTGTTAGAGAAGTAATGGTGTTATTATTAACTTTAGGTTTGTGAAACATCTCCGCATGTGAGGGCATGACTTTTTCCATGAACAGAACATGTGGAAAACCTGCTAGTGATGGATGACAGTAAGATTCACAGTAAGTATGTATGTTTGTGGGAGCATGGATGAAGAATTGAGAAGAGTAAAGAAGCAAACATGGAAGATAACTCCATTATGCATCATGTGAACTATAAGGTAGGAAATGAATAGTAGGTATTCAAGGGAAGGATACAACACCCTTCTTTTGTAAAGTACAGGTGTCCAGAATCTTTCAATTCATGGTCTAGGTCTATTATGTAGGACAACCAAGACTTCCTTTGGAATTTGTGGATGTTATGATGTAGTAAGTATGTGGAGGAACCTGAAGTTCCCTTTTATACTTCTAATGTACTCCTTGGTACTATTTATTACCACCCGGTTCAAATATGTGACATATTTTTCTTTTTGGTACGTTCCTAAATGAGTGACACTTCTAAATTTACAATTAACTTTACACTCTCCATTTTATCCCTAATGAGAAGCCTTATACCATTCTCCATCATACCCACAATGAAAATATTGTATAACAACACAAACAATATAGCATGGTTAAGGTCACAAGCTTCAAATGTTTTATAGTCATACAAATGCTATGTATGTTTTAAACCAATTGTTTCATGAGTCTTTTCTTAAATTTCGTGTTGATTCATACTATGACATTAAATTGGAACAACAGGAGAAATAAATTACCTAAGTTTAATTCACAACGAAAATTCTGTAATGAGCAAATCAAAACCACATTCCCCAATGGACTACTAAGATTTCCCATCCCCTCTCCCCTATACAATAACAATGCTCAGTGTAATCCAAAAAAGGGGTCTAGGGAGGGTGATGTTTACGTAATCTTACCATCTTATGAGGGTAGAGAGGTTGTTTTAATAGACTCTTGGCTCAAGCAAAGCACATAAAAAACAGTATGAAAAGTAAATATAGTACTAAAAGAAACCAAATAGAAAATAATTAAAAATAAAAAAGAACAACAGCAACAACACATACGACGATATCCGAAACAAAAGAAACAACAAGTACTAATAAAATTGAAGGATAAATTAATAGCCAATAGAAGAGTAACAACAACATACCCAATGTAATCTCACAAAGTGGGGTCTAGGGAGGGTAGATGTATGCAGACCTTACCCCTACCCTGGAGTTAGAGAGGTTATTTCGATATAACATCGACTCAATGAAACACATACAAAGCATTTCGGAAAAGGAAATAACAAAAATAAAGTAGTCATGGAAAAATACTATAGAAGCATGACAAAGCATCTTGCACAATAATAAAAATAAGGCTTAAGTCATACACAGACCCTTAAAGTTGTCCTAATATTTCATTTAGCCACCCCAATTCAATCTTTTCCTCTTTAACACCTATACTGCAGTAAATTTGTACCTAGTAGACATTTTTTGTTGACATGGCACTATGTGTGTAATACACACACCTAAAGACCGTGGAAGACATCATTTACTTAAAAAAAAAGATTTTTTGTTAAAAAAATTAAAGTAATATCTCCTCTTCTTCTTTCACTCAACTTAACCACCATTGCTACCAACTTTCCTCCATCACCATTCTTTCTCCGGTCATTTTTTTTATCTTTTCTTTTTCAAGCCATCGTTTTTTTCCCCTTCTTTCACCACCCACCACCGACATCACACATATTTAAATATATTGTGGTAAGAAATAGAATCAAAAATAAATTTGAGAAAACTTCATTTTTTCCGACGAATCTGAAATTATTTTTTTCAAAATCGTTAAGAAATTTAAATCCTAAAGAACTCACAACATAGAAGAAAAAAGTATCAACAAATCTAAATTTATATTTAAGAAAGTAGTGAGATTGGGAGAAATACCAATTACAATAATGAGTAAGATTCAAGGAGAAGGATAGGTGGATGGATGGAAAACAAATTCATATAATTTTGAATTGAAAGGAAAAAGAGTCAAATTCAAAATTACTATCGAAATGCTTCGATTTTGTGTCTCGTGCTAAGGGAAATGGTGAACGGATGTTAGGGGAGGGATGGGGTGGGATGTTCTGGGAAGAAGAAGAAAAGGGGAAAGAAATATATTTTTTTAATTATTTTTTTTAGTGAAAACATAATTTTTGTTTATTTTATTTTTTTTAATTTATGTTTAAGTGTTTTTATGGGCCCAATACCACATGTCTCTTTTTTATTAGCTATTATGCCACGTCAGCAGCGAGTGTAGGACACTCTTTACTTTTAGTTAATTGTCAAAATATGTTCAATAGGTATTTTTTTTAGATAAAAAAAGTGTTCAATTGGAACAAGCTTAAAAATAGGTGTCTAAATGAAATATGTGGACAACTTTAGGTGGCTACAGATGACTTAAGCCTAAAAATAATGATAAAGGAATCCAAGCAACGCTCAACTACTTACTAATCTTCTATCCTAATCATTGACCTCCATTCTTTCGGTCTAGGGTGATATCCTAGGTGAGTTGTAGAATTGTCATGTGTTGTCTAATAACCTCTCCCTAATACTTCTTCGGCCTAACTCTATAGTCCTACCTCTCCTCAGACCCACCTATTGGTAAAATATCGTTAATATCTTAAAGGAAAAGGAAGAATCTTTAAATACTCTTTTGTCTATTATTAAAGTTGGTCAAAGGAATTCATTATATATTATAGTCCTATATTTTATTAGCCTTAATGAATTCCTACTAAGAATTTTTTCAAAGTTGCCAACGGTTATTATAGCGGTGGGTTTATAGCCTTTATGGCATTTATCAAATATTGATCGTGCACTATCTGAAGTAATGTATGGCAATTGAGTCAATAGCCTTTATGGCTTATTACACATTGAATGTGCATAATGTGCACGGTTTGAACTCTCTATTTGTTGATCTATATATAGTAATTTTATTTTAGCTAAAGGGGGGAGAAAACAAAATCTTCTTATTGTTTTGTGATGCTGGATTTTTCTTTTAGGTTAAATTTTTTCGTTAGTTCTGGCTCCTACTTTTAATACTAGAAGATCTTGTTGAATCCTAGGGGATACACCTCAACCGGTGAAATATCCTTATGGATAGTGAAATAGGCATGCTCAAGCTACAAGATTCCGTGTTTTCTATCAATATTTTCCAACACTAGCATAGTCAGCCTCTCACATCTCCTCACTAGGCATTTGTGAATCTTCTCTTCATAAGCTTAATAAATACCATGTAAAGACATCAAAGGATAAGCAGCATCCAATAAATGCAATACAGACCAAATCCAACTCTTATTGTTTAAACACATTTAATGACATGAAAGACAATTTACTGAAGTTACCAAAATGAGGGCATACTGTAACTAGGTAAACACATTGGTGCAACACTTTGTCCAAAGTTGGTGCAGTAAGTTTTGAGAATATATTGAACTCAACCTGAGCCATTCTTCCATCATTGATGACAGAACATCATAATTGAAGGGGACGACTAAGCCAAATGCAGTATTCAGTATCTGAATCCATTTGATCCTTGTAAATTTATCCAAGGCCTCTGATATACAGCTTGAGCATAAAATTAAATAGCTCACACTTAATAGGAGCCCCTGGGGAGTAGAGCGGATTCTTCACCGCATATTCAACATAAAAATTGTAAATATACTTCAAAGATTCCCTCAGATCACCAGTCCTAGGATGTGTGACCAGGATCATCTTTATTCCGGACATATTCTTCACAAGCTTGAACTATCTCAGTCTCGCCTCCCTAATTTTGTCCACCATAAAGGTCACTCCTACCTTGTCCCGAATATCTTCGTTCCTAATCCTATTTCTCCTAGTATGCTCATACATCAATCTTAACATCCTCATTTCTGCTACTTTCATCTTTTGTACGTGCAAGGAAATGCATAAAGAAGCTACATAATTCTCTACTAACTTATCCAGTATTATTTCAGAAGACAACACCTTTACTCCACAGAGTCAACATAATATGCACCATTCGAAATCAGCCAAATCTGATGTGTCATTTCACTTGGTTGTTTCACGAGAGTTTTGCCTCAGTGAATTTTACGTCCTATAATTAGTGGCATTTACTTGTTTCTTAAATTTTCCACGAGACTAAATCAACAAAAATAATCAAAATCAGCACTTGTTGAATAAGAAACATATATACTAAACCTTTTAAGCTATGTAGCCAAAAGAACTCTAGTGCTCACCACTACTATACTGGACAAAATCATCTCCTAGTGATAATTCTGACATATCAAGTTCCTCATCCACTTCCTAAAATCAAAGAAGGAAATGATCAAAATCATTATATAATGTCCTGCAAATACGGAAAGAAACAAAAGATTGGGTACCTTGAAAATAGCAGCACAACAAGGACCTCTAACAGCAGACGGGTGCACAAATTCTGCAAATACTTTCCACGTCAGGTGATTCAAAACCCTTAACATCTGGTCATAGCTTCCCACTGCTAAAAACTGGCTGCAAGGTGACCATGAAACACTTTTTACTCCTAGGCCACTCTCATATGCTTGATACTTAGCCAGGCACCTCCCATCTGGAGAATAGATCAAAACCTAAAGAAAACGGAACATTCAAAGCCTTTCCATATTTCTTACATTAGAGATGATTTTACATAACCATTTTAAGTGATGAAGAAAATATCAGTTTCAGAACATTTTTTTGAGGTTTCCCCAGAAATGAGGAAAGTACATCTATACGAGAAGCTATAAACAGTACATGGTGACTACCTTGTACTCAAGAGGAGAATCCCAGATGACTATAGCACTGTCATCTGCAGACCACTGAACATCAGCCAAATCTAATGTATCGACAGCAAAAACACCCATTATCTCCCATGTATGACAAGATAGCAGATTAACATAATCCTTGCAATCGCGTCTGGTGCAAATAGCAGCAAACTTTCCATCCTTGGTAAATGATACCCCCTTAGACCCATGTTTTGGCCATTGAACATGTATGCATGCCGTGTTAACCAGCGACCAAACAGTTAACCGTAATTGAAAGTCAGATGTGGTGAGTATGTGACGACTGTCTGGACTCCACCTAGCATAAGCAACTCCTGCAGGACCTTCATCTATTTTACACGTCCACTCAGGTTGTGTCAAAGACCATGCTTGTATCATAGGTTTCTTGTAAAGACCACAAAGTATATATTCGGAATCAGGGGCCCATTCAATGTATGTAATCTTGTCCAGACATGAAAACAGTTGCACCACCTGAAGACCCAAAATTGACATAAAATTACAGTGAGATCACAAACCTACTGACCTTGCATAATCATTGAGTAAAACAGCTCTTTCTTTTGAATAACTATCACATTTTGCTAATTCGCTTTCTTGGTACATTGTTGACTTCTCATCTGACATGACTTCCATGCTATGAGTTCTTTTGAGGCATCATAAACCAACCTAGGGTGCCATTAAGTTGATAGAGTTTGAATTTCATAACACACAAATAATTTGTGAGCGCTTAAGAATTTTAGCACATGATAAAGGCAAATTTTTTCTTTTCTAAGTTGTCTTCTTTAATACTATTATAACATATTGTGAGCTTCACGTCCCTTCAGCTTATTCACGCATAAAAGAGCAGTTTTTCAGTGATATCACAAAATCTTGAGACAATAAAACCATTCAAATCTAGTTGGTATTACAGATAAAGCTGTGACCTTTCCTTTTAGTTGTGTCAGTGTCAAACGTAAAAGACAGAGAATGAGGTGTCTAAAGGGATATACCTAACAGCCACATCCCTCTTTTATGTATATTACATTGTTCTGTAATCAGCTTGTTAGAGACAGTAAAAGAATGAAATGAATCAAGTCTTAACATATTCCACTCTCTAATAACTTTAGTTTTGAGATGATTTGTTAACTTAATTCAATACAACTTCTTCCAAAGCCGCGTGTTGAACATGATGGTAAGGTCAAATTCTGAACTTTATGTACTGATTCAATAGGGTTATTAAATTAAAATGCTGCCCTGTTGTCTAAGATTAATTTTTTCAAGAACGTAATAAACAGGTTTGCAACTGCTGAATTTAGCGGAATTTCCATTTCCCCAAGAAAAAAAAACAAATTGACAATTAACATTCAGTAAAGTAAAAATTCATTGAATGTGACAAAAATAGAAAAAATGCAAAAGACCTTGAGTGAGAGAACATCACGAATCACGAGACGATAATCAACAGCGACAGCGAGAAATCGAGCATTTGGTGAGAAAGCATAAGAACCAGTTTGCTTATAAGCTTCTGTAAACTCCATTAGAGGTCAACTCGAGATTGCATAAGCTATAAACGAAACCCGCATCTACTGGACACCCACATTGCTTGATTTTTTTTCTACTTTGTTGGTCAACAGATTTCAATTTAAGGTGAACGGATGGATCTGTTGGAGAATGGAGTTCGTGGATCTCTCTGATAGCGAAAGTAAAAGTGTTAACGAATGAATTTTGAAATGTGAGAGGGACTTTAAATTTTTGTAGGGCTTATTTGTGTGCCATTAAGGAAGCTCTTAGTCTTAATTATTTGAATTTCAATCTCAACTCCATTGATTATTTATAATAACTATTAATTATTCAACATAAAATATTTTTTACATAATTTAGTTTAAGGGCAATAGAAATAATTTCCTTCCAATCTCTAAAAAAAATTAAATTCAAAATTAATCTAATATAACAAGAATCTTCTTAAAATTTCATTCACATCTTCAAAAATTGCAAACTACAAACATAATTACTATAATGAAATTTCAGGAACAAAGAGTTAATCATTATCAAAATATTTACCAATCAAATTGTATATTGATTCATGATGTTTCAATTACTAGATCTATCTCTCCACAAATTTTCAAAAGATTCCAACTTGCTTTCTATGAGAAATTAAGTGCGAAAGTTTGATAAATTTTTATTTTGTATAAATTGTATATTTGTATATAAACATCTTTTATAATTTAGTATAGTATTATAAATTGATGTATAATATTATATACGAAAAAGAGTCTAAAATATTTTTTAACTGCGAAATGATATAAAATTATCATTCGTTACCTTTCGAACATAAAATGCTCTTGACATCAACTTTTGGCTCTATTATACCCTTATATTTAACGATCAAAATAGTAATCTCATTAGAAAATTCATTTATGATGTATCGTTGTCTTATTGGTTACTCTAATAATTTAACATCTTTCACATGCGCAAAAAAATAAGAATAGCATATAGAGTAAAAATAAGAATAGCATATAGAGTGTGGAATGTGGAGAAAAATATTGTTTACTTGCATATATATCAATTACAAGAAAATAAGTAATATATTATTTATTTTTCTAAAAAAATATTTCCGATACACCTGTAGACTATAGTTTTGTATAACTTGTTTCCTAAAAATAATACCTTTATTTGACCAAACAAACTTGAGAAAGTTTAAAAACATCAAAGTGATATAGATAATGGGAATCATGTAGTTGATCTCAAAATGTCTAAGGTCCTAAATCTAGACTTTACTATCCTCCCCCTCACTTGAAACACCCGTCTACCACTAAAGTTAAGAAGAAATCATGCAATGAATTTGATTTTCACGTGTACAAACCTCTATGCAAATATTAAAATTGAAATAAATAGCAAGTTTAAAATGAAGTTGTCTTTTCAAGTAAAATGATGGAATATATGCCTTCACTTAACAGTATAATGGACCAGGTCCCTTACTACACCGATGAATATAAACAGAAAGTTAAATGCAGTTAAAACAATACAATGATTTTACGTGAAAACCTCCTTGCTTAAGGGAGTGAAACCACGACCTGTCTCACACGATTTTCAATCGTTTTCACTAATCTTCAAAAGAAAAAGTAAAACACGATTACAACAAATGTGAGAAGAAGTTTTTAATCTCACGTTTAAGCAATAGTCTCTATTGCTTAACAAGCCTAACTAGAAACCAATCTACCCACTAAGCTATCCCACTTGGACAACCTAGAATTTTAACACTATCCACTGATTCCTTTATAGTTTCAGGAATAGTTTACAATGTAAGAACAAGAGAATGTATTCTTAAACAGTTACATGAAAGCTCCAGAGATTTCCGTTGTTCTTGGAATAATTCTGCCTTTTGTTTTTGCTAGTAGTCTTTGCAAGTGTTCTTGAAAATTCTTTATCAAGTTGCAAAAACTGCAAAAGATGTTTAGGAAAGTGTCTTTTATATGGACAAATCACTTTCCTTAAACTCTTTGCCATTGGTTGGAGAAGTCTCACTTTCTGACGCCATTGGGAAGTGTGCACCTACTTTCTGTATCGTCTCCAGCTGGCAGTCAACTGGCTCGTCACCATGAGAGTCTGCTACCTCTACAAGGTCCCTGAGTTTGTTTCATCTTCAACACTCGTGTAAGAAACCTGGTACCTTTACTAGGTCCCTAAGTTTGTCAAATCATCAAAACTGCAAAAAACATAAAAAACAAAGTTATAAACGAGAGTAGAAAGATCGTTGAGATGATAAACAACTACCTCATAATTCTCCACAAGATGCCTCAGAAACGAAGATAATAGAACGTATCATGAAATCCGAGCTCGTAACCTACAAAAATTTATAGAAGCAAGGATGAGTACCAAACCACACAGTACACAACAAGCAAACCTCTAAACACAAGATAAGAGAACAAAATACGGGTACTCATTACACCCTATCCGAACCTCCACACTACAACATGCATAAAACCAACTCAACATAACAGTTCACAGGCACCCAGCTCAATAACAACACTCTGACAGATTAGAATTGTCAATAACAACTCAATATTCGTCAGTTACATATTTCACAGAAAATCACTCACAAGATTAACAAAACACAAGTTCAAGTTCATCAATAATTAAATTGTGCAATGTCATGAAATGCAATGTCAAATACAGTGATGCATGTCTGACCTAATGATACACACTCGTTGTCTCTCAGTCTAGGATCCATGGGGGACATACCTATCCATGCATTCATCGCGGTGTGCGATACGACCCTCGATAATAATAATAATCGCGGCGTGAGATACGTCCCTCAAAATATAATATCCATCGCGGCGTGCGATACGACCCTCGAAATGGTACATCCTCTAATCACATAACACTTATCACAACCATGTCTCAGATGCAATGCAAATGACATGCTCTCAAACAAATAATGAGGAAAATAATCATTTTGATAACAATGCACAATTCACAACAATGCAATCGTAATACAGTATCAACAAATAAGCAATAATCCTCCAAATCATTCTCAAACATCACACAAGGAAATATACAAATTTCGTGCGCTTAACAAGGGTTTAGAAATTCACTTGCCTCAAATAAACGAATAATCACTTCGGGACTTGAGCCTTCCCCTTTCATATCTCCTCTATTTGAATTTTTTTGTAACAATTATTTTTAATGTGTTTTTCATTTATGTAATAAAATACAAGTTGACAACTTTGCCCTTTTCTAATACACTATTAAACTCCTCTAATTAATTATTGTTAACAAAATATCATATGAGATAAATTATTTAAAAAGAAAATAATCCTTGGCTCAAAAAATTCTTCTCTGCGAACAGGTCCCAAGTTCTCTTCCCCTTCGGTCTTTCTCTTTGCACGAGTAATCGGACATCATTATTTTATCCTCTGTATACATAGCAACAAATAAAGTCCCTCACGGTATAATTAGTTTTGAAGCAAAAGTATTGAGGGTATGTGTAGTGTATCGGTTAGTTTGATTTAAAGTTTATTGGTTCGATTATCAGTTATCCGTTTGTATATATTCTAAATTGTTATAGAACCACAAAGACATTTTCTTATTTGTTATTGATTTATTGATTATTGATCATTATCAATTTGGTTATTGGTTTAACTAATTTGGCATCAAAAATAATCTTTGAAAATTACTTAAAAAGAAAGTGAAAAACCAAATAAATCTGAAAAAATTGCATGTTAGTATAAAATAAATAAAATTGCGGGATTTTAGCATTGTTTTTCTGTTGTAAAATATGAGAATTAAATGAAAAATGTAATATTAAGAAAGGGTAAATTTGTCAACTTGTATTTAGTAATATTAATGAAAAATAGATTAAAAGATCAAAGATTCAAAATAAGGAAGGTATATGTAATATCGTAAACCACGAGGGAAGTCAATGTGATTGAGCGAGATGTGAGGAAAGGTCTTTAAAATTATTCCTTATTATTTTTATTTAATTTTAAAAAATAAATGTAATGAAACATTCGTAACAAACTATATATAATAAAACACTTTTTTAAAAATATAATTATTATTATTTATAGCCAAAACAGAATATCCACGTTACAAAGAATGTTCAATTTAAAATTTTAATTTTTCTTTAAGAATACAATATTTTATTCTTCATTTTTAACAATTATTTTGTACTTCTTAATTTTTTTCTTCAAACTTTAATATTTGTCTAAAATAAAATAAAATTAAAAATTTATTATCAAAAATTTAACAAGGTTAGTCTCGTCATTTCGAATCAAAAACAACATGAATTGATAGTGAAATCAATATCCTTTTTTTTATTATCAATTGTAATATTTATGTGTCAATTCATTTAGATTTATAATTATATTTCTATTATAAGAAACTTTGGAAGACCTTAAAATGAGTTTTCTAAAAGTCATTTTTTTGGATAATAGTTACAACATTATCAATCTTAGTCGTAGGGATCCCTAATGAGCTAAAAATTAAATAAATGTTTTAGCCTTTTACTTAACAATAGAATTTGTGAAGTTCCTTCCTTTTGCTTGACTTATATATTGAATAATCTCTTTTTCATCAGTAGGGAAAAAAAAGATTGTGTTAAGCATATCGACGACTAGAAAGAATAAATAAGCAAAAGGACAAAGGGAGAGACTTCTTCCTTCAACAAAGACAATGCTTATTCTTCTTCTTTCTCAATACTCTCGAATAAGGTAAGGATTTTTCCTATTTTCTATCAAAAGCATTTTCACTAGAAAAATAAAGTAAACGTCAAATTAGTAATTCATGTTCCATAAATTTGTAGTCAAAAAAATAATATTTGTTTTGTTTTTTTGGGATCTCAAAATTTCAAGGTCCAAAATCTAGACTTTACTATCCTCCCCCTCGCTTAAAACACCTGTCTACCTCTAAATTTTTAATCAAATTTTATAATGTGGACTCCATTAAGGTAAGATAACAATGAGATGCACATTAAAGACGATGAATGTGTCCGTTCAATTACCTAATGCGAATGAATTTAGTCAAATACTAACACATTTGTTAGATAGTAATCGCAACAAAAGTGATAACTTAAAATCATATTATATAAAAAGACCTTAAATTTTTTTTCATAAAATCAATGTAATAATGAAAGACACGAAAACAAATTCATGATTTTTATCTAATACTAAGAGTACAACATATGTGGTATGAATTAGACATATGTTATGACATTTGTTTCTATTTTATTAAAAAGAATATGATATTAAATAAAAATAGTAAACGAATTACGATTAGATCAT